CATCAGAAATGGAACTGGGATCGCTCGAGAGGTGTGCATTAGAGGTTCTTTTGAAAATGAAGTACAGCTCTCTCTGAGTGGCAGGAGTCCTCAAGGCTCACATACAATGACAGATGCTTTGTTATATTAGGGACAGAGTGAGACGAGACATGAGGTCCAGCTTTAATAGTCCAGGGAAAGATTTTTGAATCACACAATAATCATGCTGGCCAGCCCCATTAAGCATGGGATGATTCCATGTAAGTGTGATGTACTAAAAATGAGCCCCCCCCCCAAAAAAAAAAACCACAAAGCTGTCTTCAAAGCCAGATAAGGAAGAAAAAGTCCCAAAGTTTGTGCAAGCATCATTAATCTCTCTAAATATGATTTGAGCTCCCACTTTAGGATACGTTAGAAAACATTTGTTCTTCATGCCTTTAAATGCTCTTCCCTCTAAAGCTCAGAAGTAAAAATGCCTGATTATAATTTAGAAAATATTTTGACTTCTGTCAGTGATGTGCTTCTACATTACATCCCAACAAAATCACAGTTAGGATGTATGCCACACAACTTCTACAAACACAAAGCCTATTCATTTAGAATAGCCTGAAAATGAGCGGCTGAGGTGACTATCCCGAGAACCAACCTGTCAAACTCTGCCCGTTGTCATTTGTCTTACAACCTTTCATACTGTTTGAAAGGGCAACACGACTCCTGAACAGCGGAACTATACTAGTTTCAGGCTATGTGTCATTTTGGAAGGTTCCGACATGCTACGTGCGGTTCTCTTTCTTTCTAAAGTGCCGTGTCTGTCAATCATCCTGTCATTTAGAATTAGCATAATGCTGTCAATGGAAGAACACAGAGCAGTGGTAGTGATAAGTTTTTATGTTCAAACACAAGAGAGACTGTGTTAAAATTCTCCCTGGGGGAGTAATTTTTCTCATTTAACAATCATTTTAGCCTTGCAGGTGGATATGACAACACATCAGTTAATGAATATTTTCCCCAAATTACTCACTTTTCATACCTTTAAAAGGTCCCTTTAATAAGGGATTCTACTGAAGTACTACACTTCATCAGCGGCCCTATTCCAACTTCTGCTTATTTCAAATGTACTATCTTACTTTTTTAATTTTAAATTCTCTACTAAAATTCTTTAATAATTTTGTTTTCCCCTATGGCATAAGCACATGCATGACTCTGCATCTCATGTTAAAATTAAACACAGCAAATAGGGTATTTTATTCTGGGGAAAGAGTTCTAATTACTCAACAGTGTGAAATTTCTCCAAGAGAAGGCTATAGCTTTCATAATATAGTTTGACGTCTCCAAATGAAAGATCAAAAATACATAATTAACTAATATGCAAGGATAAGCCATAAGGCCATCTTCATAGTTTTCTTTTACATAATAATCACATATATTACTAAGCATATAAATGTACTGCTACACAAAGAATGTAAAGACACCCAAGTCTAGTGACAAGAGAAATTTATATATTTGGTACAGATGTAATGTTTTCCAAACATTTTCAGTCTATAGCTGGCTAGATCTGTGCTTATAGAGCCCACAGATGCTGCTAAGGCCTTGACTGTACAGAAAAAATGAAATGGTGAGATTATGAGGATCTTATTTTTCTTTATATTCTAAATTTTTTTAGCGTTTTCTTCAGGAAATCAAAATTACTAAAGATACTGTGTGTGTTTGTGTGTGTGTGTGTGTGTGTGTGTGTGCGTATTAGTAAAATTTATTTTGCTATTTTCGTTTTGATAAAATACAAATAAAATTTACCATTATAATAGCTTTTGTTTTTATCTTTTCCTAATTTGAAAAGCATATAATTCAGTGACATTAAATGTATTTCTCCTCTCAGATAACCACCACTAATTCCAGAACCTCCCCACTGCAAATGGAAACGCTGGACCCACTAGGCAGTTACTTCCCATTCACCCTTCTTCACGTCCTGACAACTATTCATCCAGTAATCTTCCTATAGGGCTGCCTATTCTGGACATTTCATACAAATAGAATCATACAATGTGTGGCCTTTTGTGTCTGGTTTCTTTCATTTAGCATGATGTTTCTTAGGTTAGTCCATGCTATATCATGGATTATGGCTGATATGGATATACTATTGATAACCAACAGTTGGGTTTTCACTTTGTGGTTATTGTGAAAAGTACTGCTATGAGCATTCTTATTTAAGTTTTTGTTTCAATATCTTTCTTAAATTAATTTGGGCATATATCTAGAAATGGAACTGTATCAGCCTATAATTAAAAATATTTTTACTTCCACTTTGACACCCTGTTTAAAGCAGCAATGGTTTTCATAATTAGCAAAGGCAACCTTTAGACTATCCTTCCCAAAAGAACAGCATTCTATTTTTAACCACACTAGTACACTTAAAACCAACTCACATTTCTTAGTTCAAAAAGTAACTGTTACTCTTTGAGAATATATTTCTTGCAAGGTTCCAGTGTCTTACTTGAAACAGCGATGAAATAACAGAAAGAGACAGTCTTTCCCTCCTAGCACAGCCATTCTAGCAGTGGATAATTCCCTTTCAAAGGCTGATATACTAAAAGTACAAACCCCTGTGTGTTGTTTGAATTTGACAAGAGAATGTTACATAAGACGGGGATTCACGCTCCCAAACAGCAAGTCGAAGGAATATAGAACCCTGTAGAAATTCAAGCTGGCAGACAGTGACCACAAAAGACAAATAGCACTTGACAGAATACATAGTGCTACTATTTCAAGTGCTGTACTTCCCATCCACCTAGCAGAACATCAAAGCCACACAGCAAGGTGAAGTTTTGCTGTTGAGAGCTCTTGATGTGAACTAAAGGGGATGTTATTAACTCTGCCTATTTATACCTATTCATCAGTTGCCGGGGTCTCAAATTTTTCTTTCCCATGAAACATACATACGTTTACCCACTATGTATACATGAACAAAATGTATTCATGTGTTTATACATGCTCAAACCATATTTTCAACTCAGTGGCTGCAAGCAAGGATAAAAGGGCTTCTGTAGCTTGGTCATCCAAGAGAAAAGCAAACAACAGTCCCCCAACAGGAAAAATAACCATCTAGATTATATGTTCATCAGTGGGGACATGAATTGGAGCCATTAAATAAAAACTACTGGGAGATAGTTCCATAATATTGGTAAACTTCTCTTCAAAAAAAAAAAATCCAAATAGGCCTGGTGTGATGGAGCACACATGAAATCTTGCTACTCAGGAAGCAGACAGTAAGAGATCTTGAGTTCAAGGGCAGCCTGGGCAACATGGTTGCAAACAAACATAAAGGTTGACAGAGAGAAAGAAGAGAAGGAGGGAAGGAGGCAGGGAGGGGACATCAAATAGGAATGTCAAACTTCAAAAATAAAGAAGGAAATTTTAGTTCTATAAAATGGTTGATACTCTTCAATTTTTTCTAATATGTTACTAGATTTTTTCATTTCTTCTTTTATAAAGGTTATACAATGCTTTCATATTCTGATAATGGCACGAAAAGCCTGTAACAAAACCCAGAAGGGACACTTTCTTCCTCTTTTATGCAAAATGTTATAAAATAGCTCTGGTGTCTCCAAAATAATTCATATCCAAGATCTTCTGAGATGATTCTCCAGAATATTATTCTGTACACCTGTTCTGTGGAGTAAATCATCTGTAGTCTCCCAAGGAATCATAGAAAAAGCAAAAATAAAATTCAAGTCCAGTTAACTATGAGTACAAGGATCTGGTTACAAGGCAGTCTCAGTACCACTAGGGATGATTCTTTGATTCTACCACAGTAGAAGGAAAAGCTCTTCTAAGGATTCAGTGGTTCTGTTTCTAAGTGGCGCATGAGAGGATGCTATTTATCAACAAACTGCCCTTGTTTTGTTCTTCTACCACTAGTTTCTTCATACCCTGCATATAAATTTCTCTCTGCATCCTGGTAGAGACCCGATCTTGTCATTTCTGTACATGTAGAACACTGCCTGGAACACAGCTGCTATTCAGGAATATAGGCATGACCTCCACTCAACTATTTCAACCGCCAAAGAAAATCACCATGAGAACCTCTGAATCCCACATAGTAAAGAAGAAAAATATAATTAATATAGGTTTCTCTCCTAATGACAAGGCACAGACATACTCTAGGTAGAACAGTATTCTCAGAGTAATTTCAAGTGTGTGTATGTAGCCAAGAATGAACTCACACTTTTTTTTTTTCCGAGACAGGGTTTCTCTGTGTAGCGTTAGCACCTATCCTGGAACTCACTCTGTAGCCCAGGTTGGCCTTGAACTCACAGAGATCCACCTGGCTCTGCCTCCCGAGTGCTGGGATTAAAGGCGTGCGCCACCACCGCCCGGCCGAACTCACACTATTGAATTCTAGCTCATGTCACAAACTGCTTTCCCCCAAGTGGTATATTTTGCTAACTCTTGCTGCTTCTTCCTGATATGTGTATTCTGACTGCCTAATCATTCTGTGGTGGTTACAGCATACCACCCTGGAATGGAAATATGGGGAGAAATAGATTCCAGCTAGTCTTTCTCACTACTTATTAACAGCCTTATTGGATACTTAAGTGATGTACTTTTGTTCAAAAGTAACACCACATTCAACTGGAGATTTTAACACCACAGGGTATTTGGCCATTAAAAAAATCCTCCAGCCGGGCGGTGGTGGTGGTGGTGGTGGTGGTGGTGGTGGTGGTGGTGGTGGTGCACACCTTTAATCCCAGCACTCGGGAGGCAGAGGCAGGTGGATTTCTGTGAGTTTCAGGCCAGCCTGGCCTACACAGTGAGTCCCAGGACAGGTGCAAAGCTACACAGAGAAACCGTCTCAAAAAAATGAAAAACAAACAAACAAAAACCAAAAAACCTTCACTCACATCTCATTGTTCAATGGGGAGCTTTACTTCAGTGTTAGAATGGACAGGAAGCCTTACATTCTGGGCCCAGCTGGTAGCATCTACTCAGGAGTTACCGCCATGTAAAGTATCTTATACTCTTACCTCCCAGTCCAAATAGTCACAGACATCCTCAAAGTTAGTGAGCAGAGACACCGAACAGAAAAGCCGTGGCAGCTCATCCCTTGTCATTGGTGGAAAACGGCTGTCTTTAAGGGCACTGTGGAAGACAGAGCAGAGATTAAAGCCATCCATTGATATGAAGGCTCCTAAGCTCAACTACTGACCATCATTTGAAATAGGCAAATAATTAAGAATTGGAAATGTATCAAAGGTGCAAGTGACTGTCCCGGGCATTTTCAGAAACCCAGAGATTTTAGAAGTCACTATTTTTCATTGAGTAGATTCTGTTTACTGGCTAATCCTGTGGCTACTTCAACTGTAAAGAATGAATGTTCAATTCACTCTCCTAAGCAATTTTCAATGTCTCTCCATGTTATTTGTAAAAGCAGAACATGCTTTATTTTACATTTGAGGAGAATAAAACCTAGAGGGGTACAAACATGCTGGAAGGCCTCTGAATCAATGATTGGAAGAGAAAATGTATATATGATCACACATAGCTCTTTTTCTATATAGAAAATCACATTGTAAAACTAAAAAAGTTAATACAAGCTACAACAGTTACCACAGAACATTAAATAACTCAAAAAGATGAATTTTTTTCATTAAGGAAATAAAATCAAAGAAAATGAAAATAATCACTCAAATCATAGACTAAAAACACAAGGATTTCATGTACCCATTAAAGGACAACTGAAGACAGGACTCAAAAACCGTGGAACTGCAAGAATAGGGCTCATCTGTACAACAGAGGTCTGATTAGGAGATTGCGAGGTCATTAATCCCATCAGTGAAGTTCTGAGTTTCTGCATACATCAACTCTGATTAGACCCTTTAATCACACTCCACTGTGCCAAACTCTAGAGACCCTTGTAAAGGATAAAAATGGTCTTCTTCCAAGAGTAGAAGAGATAAATCAATGGTGCCCCTCCCACACACCACCTTACTTTCTCTCTGACACACACACACACACACACACACACACACACACACACACACACACACACACATACCATGTTCCTTGTACTTTGTAAAGAAATCGTTTCCTGGTCAAGCAGAACACACCTCTGATTATCTAACACATAAATGCAACTGTTGACACAGCATCCATAATCAAACAGCCTAGGTAGCAGCCAGGCATGGAAAACGTTTTCACTGTTTCCTTCTCACAGATTACAAACTCAGAAACATAACAAAGTCCCACAGCCTTTGGAAATAATTGAATTCCCCTCTAAGTGACTCATTCCCAAATCCACTATTCTTCCACTTTTGTATTTTTGAAACAGGCTCTTGTATGTACTTTTTTTTTTTTACTTTTCCCTCCCTTCTTGACATTCTAAAACTCACTGCATTTATATTTTCAGTGATTCTGGTGCTACTGCCATCCCACTATACAAAAGAAAATGCTCTTAGGAAGATGCAGATGTAAAAATTTATAAAGAACAAATGTTCGTGTCATTCAAGAGGCCTCGATCAACCAAGAAAACCAGGAAATTGCAAACTCATACTCAGAAGGCAGCATTTCACTCTTTTACAATTTAACGACATAAATTTCCTATGGTTTGGCTTTATTTTCCTCCTGACAAATAAACTTCTTAAAAACATTCTCAAGCTCTCATCCAAAGGCAAGCTGAAGACACACTTCTATTTAACCACCTCTTTTGCACACAAATACTGGAACCAAGTGCTAACACGTTGTGTAGAAGTGTCCCTGGCATGATTAAAAGGCCAATCCCATGTTTTAGTTTTCCTGTTAAAAAGAACCAAAAGAAAGAAAAAGCCCTTTATACATCAGAATCATGTAAAATACAAATTTTGTAGTTAGGGAGTGGGTTTTACTGTGGTAAAATATGCATAAAACTTAACATTTTAATCATTTTTAAATAGCTCTATTTTGGGAGAATAAGTATATTCGCAGCCATTACCACCCTCTATCCCCAGAAATTTAGAGGTTCCCCAAGTGAAACACCAATTAAGCACTAACCTCCCGTTCCTCTCTTGCCCCTAGTTCCTGGCATAAAATATAAATTAAGTAGACTTTGATTTCAAATAGTTGTGCTAGAATATACTTACTATTGTTTTTATTACAGTAGTCACATAGCACTAAATTCACCCATTTAAAGTACACAATTTGATGAGTTTTAATATAGTCAGAGTTGTACAGTTATCAGTCTTACTCAATATTAGAGTATTCCATAACTTCATAAAGAAATTCTGTATTTGTCAGCAATGAATCCAAGTTTTCCCTAGTCCCAGTTTCCTGGTAATTGTAAATCTACTTTTTGCCTTCATGGATTTGCCTATTCTGGCCATTTTATGCATGTAGATTTAGACTTACAAAAAACTAAAAACTATATTTGAAAATAAAAATATTGCCTTTTGTGTTTGGTTTCTCTCACTGAGCATAATGTTTCTGGGATTTCATCTGTGCAGCAGCACTTTATCCCTTCTATTATCTAATAATGGTTCATCATATAAATAAACCGTATTTTGTTCTTATTCACGGATGGATGGATATTTAGACTGTTTCCTCTTTGCTATGCACTATGAATTAGGCTGCTGTGAATATCTACATAATTTTTAGTAAGGGCCTAATTTTTCATTTCTTTTGGGTACCTACCTGCAAGGAGAATGACTGGTCATTAAGGTCATTCTGCTGAGCTGGAGCGATGGCTCCGCAGTTACGAGCACTGGGTGCTCGTCCTAGAGAACAAGTGTTTGAGTGCCAGCACCTATCTGACAGCTCCCAACCACATGGAACTCTGGTTCCAGGGATCCGACGCCCTCTTCTGAACTCTAAAGGACACAAGGCACACATGTGCTGCGTGGACATACATGCAAGGAAAACACTTACACACATCAAATAAGCAAATCTTTAAAATAAAAAAAAAGTTTTTCTGTCTTTAACTCTGTGCGGAACTGGATTTCTCCCCAAAACAGGCTGAATAATTGTACATTCTCACCTACAATATATTAAGGCGCCCATGTGTTTACATCCTCAACAACGCTTGTTGTCATCTGTTGTGTGTTTTTGTTATTTTGTATAATTCGGGGCCTGCTTTAAGGAAAATACATTTTTTGCATTCAGCTCTATCTTTTTACCAAGAAACAATGCATGTGATGCAGTTATCATATAGTTAATGTCTCAATACTTTGTGGTAAGTTACGTTGTGTGCCGTATTTCCTAAACTGACCAATGACGGTATAATTCAAGCCCATTAAAACTCAATCTATTTCAAATGGATGAATATTTCAAGTACCTAAAATGGAACAAGTTTTTCTCATGCTGTGGAGCCTTGCTGTTCAGTCACTCTAGAACTTAAGGGAAAAAAAAAGTATTTAGAACAATGAGTGAGTCATGATGGAAATCGTCTGATTGTATCAAAGAATTCAAACACAAATTTTGGTATTCGCATTTTTCTTCCATCTCCAAGTAACTTTTTGTTAAACTTGTAAGCCGAGAAACATCAATGGATCTCAATGCAAATTCCTAGAGAAATACACTGGCAATGAAAGCCTAGCAAGGATTTAAGGGATCCTAAAGAGATAAAAATTCAGCTGGAGACTCACCTCCAAGCTGCCAGGCCAGTGTGGATAACTGATACACAAGAGAATTCAGCTGATCTCAACCAAGCTCTTTTTAGAACACACCATACACACTGTTAAACCTAGGGCTTTGGAGAGGATGCTGCATTTTGAAGTTGGGCAATGACTTATATGAGGTGACCTAGCTAAGCCAAAAATGGAGGTATGTCTATAACCCAGATTTTTAGGCTCAAGTCCAAAAATTAGTATTCACACATTAGTCTTCACCTTTGAATAGATTATACTTTTAAATTTGAAAATGAAATACTTGTCTTACTTGGCATTTTGATCTCAAACCTGTAGTGTCTCTGCCTAAAAGAAGATATGTAATCATTCAGTAGCATTCATTTGTAGTCAAATGGAAAGGATTCCTAGACTTCTTGGCTATTGGAAATCTGCAAGAATAAATTAGTAATATTGTCCACTAAAAATATTTTCTACCCAACAAGTATCTGCCAATTGAAATTCTAGGGAGTTTAAGAAGCTGACAGGGGGATCTTGTAGTAAACCGATCATGAAGTTTCTCTTTGAAATGATAGGAAGCCATTTTCAAATGTTTAAATAGTACTAGGGAAAATAACCAAAACGTTTATGCACAAAATCAGCTGGCTGCTCCATCAACCATATGATGGACAGGAAAGGTTTAAACATAATTTAGTTCACATACCAAATTCAAATGTATTCAGTTCAATCTGGCACCTTCCCAAGTAGACATTTCACCTAATTGAGAAACAGCATTAACATCTGTCAAAGTTAATATCTAATGTTAAATGGCACTCCAGTGAATCTATTAAGAAAATAAGACTTCAGCTATCGAGGAATCAAGATTGTGAGAGTAGCTGCTGAAAAGAAATAAAACAGAGCTGGAAAGAGTCACAGCATTAGCTACTACAGGGCTCATCCTAAACAATATTATTACCTGCAACAGAAATGGCGGAAGTGTACCTGTCGCGCTTCCTGAAACAGAGCCCATTAATCAGTTAAGTAGTGGGAAGTCACCAAAGCAATAGACAGGGCTTCCTATTACAGAGAATCACTCTGCAGAACAAATAATTAAATCCACAATTAAGCACTGCTATTGGAATAGATAAAGAGAAATGAATGAAGTGTGCATGATTTTTTTTTTTAATCTTGCTGAAAAGTTTAGACCATTAGGAAATTGCTTATTCTGCCATTCCTAGGCATCAGGACCCCAGGACCAGAATGCTCATGTGGTACATTTGCACCACACAAACTTAGAAAACTAGAATCTTAAACCCACATCTGAAAATTTATACACTGATTATCTTTCTTATTGAGTAGTGTATTTTAGCTTTTACAAATTCGAGAAACAATGGGACACAATCCAAAATTCAAACATGTAACTCTTGTTCAATCTTCAGCATACTGCTGGCAGGGGACAAGAAAGAGACCCTGGTTTGGGTAAGGGCTGTGCAGGGCAAGGAAATTTCCAACTCTGTCATAGGTACACTGTTGCCTGACTGCAAAGTGTTATTTCTTTAACAGTTATAC